AACAAGATGATGGCTGCAAAGAAGTTCGACAATTAAGGCTCGAACAAGACGTTTCTGAATGGTTGGTTAACTTAATGTCACTTTGATATGTATACTGGCAGGGTAGAGTAGTGAGATACGAACGTTTGGCAAAGATTAATATAAATTAATTTTATATTTATATAAGAATGTAATATTAAGAATATTTTATATAAGATTTTTTTTTTTTTTCAGGAGCAGCTTCTTACCAAAACCAGCTTTATACTGACCCTTGTTTATAAAGCAGTCTGGTGAAAAATGATTTGTGCAAACATGAACGCATTGATGTTGATTGTGGGGAATATTCTACATTGGCCGAGAAGGGTCACAACACATACAAACATCACAACAACTACATATTCAGATATTCATGTGTTATCTGAATTTGGACATGTTTTCTAAATATGTAGTTGTTGTGGCGTTTGTATGTATTGTGACCCTTCTCGGCCATCGTAATATTCCCTTCGAAAACAAAACTCAGCCACTGCGTCTTCAGCGGTTTCGGGTTTAGGAACATCAAAATCACTGTGTTCGCAATCGCTTAGATGCCATTCTGCTCCAGCGTATCAACAATGACGGACTATGAAGACAGCTCCCTCAGTGCGGGTTTATGTTGAAACGCTGCTGTCAATCAACAATTGTGGGAGGGGCGTCCAAACGGTTCAATTTGAAGCAGGGGAAAACATAAGGAGATTAAAACAAAAACATTGAATGGATTTTTATCATTATATGATGGTTTTGTACAGGCACTGCTAAAACACATTTCAGTACAATCAACTTGTAAAGTGCATGTACCATTATATGAGCACTTAAATAAAGTTACTCATCCATCCAAGTACATGATCTCCTGCTCTTTTTGTCTATAAAAAACTGGATTTGGATGACCTACATGCTTTAGTAAATGGTGCCCTAAATCTGCCCTGTCCACTTAAAGCTGATAGACATCTTATGTATCTTAAGAAGGGTGAGTTCATTTTTCCACTATCAGATGTACAGTATGAACAGCTTCTCTCTCTCTCCAGTGGCTTCACAGAGTTCAACACTACTCGTGCACACTTCATCTTATCCCACTTACAGCTCTCTTATTGCTCCATTTTTCACTCTATCACTTTCCAAAACTATGCAATACTGCAAGAAAACAAAAGACAGAATAAGCAAAAACACAGAGATGGAGATGAAAAGGAAAATAAGGGAAATATGAGGGAGAGCAAGGCTGAAAGAAAGGGGGGTGAAGACAGATGGGCATTTTCAGAGATCATTTATCAAACTCAGGCCCATTCAATCCCCTCCCCTCTCCCAAACCCCCATGTAATTCAGTAATCATTTTCATTATCATATAATGACCTTACAAAGCCTACAGCAGTTAGCGCGGTCACTACAAACCACACAGCTGTTCCCGGCACTGCCCCCTTCATCACCTCCCAAACACGCAATCTGCCCACCGCAGGAATGGACTGTGACCCCTGCAGAGGTCAACGGATGGATGTAGATGTGACAGGAGTTGGACGATCCACCCGAGTAAGGTCGTTTCTATCTGAGTGTGTGTTCACATGTGTACTTTTTACGTTAACTCTAAATTGTAGCGTGTCTATGCAGACATAAAGGGTGTGAGATCAATGGTTTTAATCCACAACACTGCCGCTTGCATATGGATGAAACAAAACCACAAGGTCGAACCGTTTCATCTGCCAATGCAAATGAATCTCTAAAAGGTCTTCCTTCTGTTAATGTTTGATTTTGACCTATGAAAGATACAACATTTTTAAAGCAAATAATTTCAGAATATTCCAAATGGACAGATGGATATGCATATATGGTCCCATTTACAACTGCCATTAACATGCATTGCACTTACACCTTTATTTTAACAGAGCTTGACCAGGGAGCCTCAGAATCACTTCAAAGTATTTAAGTTAAGAAATTATCATCACATTTTATATTAGCCATCTTAAACTACTTGCATCAAAAAATAAGTACGTCAAATTATATCAAAGGATTAAGTAGTTCAAGACACCCCATATAAAATGGGACCGAGATTTATACCGATACGCATCTATTCAAATAACCAAACTTTAATCTAAATGCCAAAATTAGACAAGCATATATTGGAGAGCCTTTGACTTTTGTCATGAAGAATGGTTACTTTAAGACAAACAGGCTGAGAGATCTAATCACATTTGTGGTACATGCACAGAAAGAGAGTTTGCATGTTAATAGCACCAATTAATTTTAACAACCGAATATTAAACAACAAATATAAAATGCCTCACACATTGGATAAAAGGGGATTCATCTTAAGATCTCAACTAATGTTACAGATTTTTATTCTTCGCCAATTATTCACCAAATTTTTTATTCAAAATGGTGTCATTTTAACAGATAAAAAAAGAGGTGTCTGGTCTTGCCTTTTCCTTCTTTCCAAACATTCCCACAGTAAAGGAAAGAAGATATTCCAAGTGTCATCCAGTGAAAAAAAAATCAAAAAAAAAAAATCATAGAATATTAAATTGGGTGACCGGCATGTCTGTCTTTCATTTTCATTAAAAAGAAAAATACAAAAACATCCAAAACACAAGTCAAGAAATCTTTAAATGCCCTGCTTTGGATAAAAGCATCTGCCAAATTAATCTATTTAATGTGTAATAAATATGCAGAGTATCCACGGTCTCTAATCAAAATTGCAAGAGCCAAAATACGTGGAGGTGACCTGCATGAGTACATCAGGTAAGCTAATAAGCCCGAGTTCCCATAAGTCAACAGGAGGAGCCTACGGTCACATCTAGCATCTCTGTCCCTCAGGGTAACTTCAGATAGCTGAAAGCAGGTCCAGAGGCCCCACAGTCTGCAACAATCAAACTACTGTTAAAGAAAGCAAATGTCTGTAAGACAATAAAAGCCTTAATCAATCAGCCCGCTGTGCTTATGTTTATGAGCCTGTAGCGCCAACCATCCATCATTTGGTTTTTACCACTCAAAACACAGACGCAGAGACAAAAGAATGGCATAATGTGAGGAGCGGGCCTGCTGCATACTAAATTAATAAAACAATTGCAGCCTTTGACTGCAAAAATAAGCAACATGATTTAGCACACTGCTCCGAGAAGTTTCTTTTCAAGAGGACTGGTCAGAAATTAATGTTTGTGTTCAGCGCTGCGAGTCATGATAGTTGTTCTAACAGTCTGTCATGGTAATAGTACAAATACATCACCGCATTCAGGTGAGTGGAGCACGGCGTACAACGTTCACTTTATCAGCTTGTGTCATAGGAGATATTATCAGCTACGAGTTCATTTTTGTCTTAACAGCGTCTTAACCTTAGCCCAAGCTATCTGCCTTCCCTCCCTAAATGCGATTTGTTGACAGCCACTTTACAGACCTGTGCCTGATGTTTCGAAGAGTGACGTTATCTCGCTCCAGAAGGGCGGCAGGAAGTGATAGTGGAAAGGGATGAGTTCAAACACATTGCAGTGTGTGCACACAGAGGAGTGAAGGTAGCTTTATCTAATCACGCTGCTCCGACTGATGAAATAAACTTCCGTGCGTGTGAATGTGTAAGTTGTACAGGTCAGTGTGTATGTAATCACTCGGTTTATTCAGCAGAGAGATTTATCCCATTTTAAATATGATTAAATAAATAAAAAATAGAGATATAATTCACGAATGCATCTTAGAAAACAGTCTCCAGCAGTCGAACCACAAACGCCGAGCCAAGTGTGCTGATGAGATGTGAACTAGCCAGAACTTGGCTCGCCGTTCGTGGTTCAACTGCTCGAGACTTTTTTCCTAAGATGGCTCCCTGTATTTGCGAAGTGGACCGTCTTTATAAAATATATTCTTATTCAACGGTCTGTACACTTACTGAGTTCTCAATGCTTCGTTTTGCATGCAGGGACACTTATTATGCTACCATGTTAGTGTTGGGCTATTTTGAGCCTTGTTATTGGGATTAACTAGCAATTTTTATTTTCATTACTCTATGCATACTCTACGCCATATACTAGCATTATAAGCTAAACAGTTTTTAGAGATAAAACTCTTTACATTCGATAATAATGAAAACAAATCTCAGAGAACGGTTGACTATGTACCAATGTGTAATTAGACCAAAGGTTCATTTTGCGCTGGAGTTCTCCTTTAAGAGACAGTGTCTTCTCATAGGATAAGAAAACACAAGCTCATGAATAATTATGAGACACTGATGAGTCAAAGCACTAACAGTGCTCTGACACGTCACAGCCTGTGACGTGGACACGATGAAGATTTAAACACGGAAGACAAAAATAGCGGAAAAAAAAAATGTTTAACCATTCAACCATGTTTAACCTCAGAAATCTCAGAAAATTGGGTTTAGGGTTTCATGACCCTTTAATGACTACACCGTACCACAGATGGCTAAGCGTGTGCGTTTACTTGTGTCCTTGACGCTGTCTGACAAAATGAACCATGGCCTGGTCTGTAGTTTTCATCGTCTGATTTAAGAATGCTGTTTCAGCACAACATCAACATTGTTTACAGGTACTAGCAGGCCTGGGCATCACTCTGGGGTTAAAGAGAGGGGACAACCCCCTTAAAGGGGCCGCTTTACAGAGACAAGAGAACAGGGAGGAGCCCTTAATGTTGTAAAGATGCAACTTCAATAGAGATATACAGTTGTTTCAGGCCTTACCAACTAAGTCTGATCTGAATAAAGACAGATCACACACACAATGGTCTGTGAGGAAGTAATAAAGAAAGAGAAAAATGGTGTGTGTTCTATGAGTTGGTATGCATATCTGAGTGTGTGTAAGGCTGGTTCTCTCGTTTATCGGAACAAATGGGTTATGTCACTCAGTCACCCTTATCTCAGAGGAAGGAAGTCAATGGGCTATCAGCACGTGTGTATGCGTGTGTTTGTGTGAACTCTCTCGGCTTGAAGGATTGTCCTGAACAAGACTGGGAAAAAAAGGGTCCACAATTGACTGAAGATGCAAATGGACACATACCTGTCCCTCCATGTCTGTCTGTGCTGCTGTCTGTCCGTCAGGGCGTTCAGTAATATGTCTGCAATCTCTCTCCTGTTCTCCTGTGTCGTGTTCTCATCCTCAACGACAGCCAAAAGCAGCTGAGTCTGGAAACAAACAACACAGTCAGCTGTGACTGCAAACTACAAATAACATAAGGTCAGTTTCAGTTTGTCAATTATTTAAACAGCAATTTAAAACTATATGCTACCGTTCAAAAGTTTGGGGTCAGTACAATTGTTTAGTGTGAGTCTATATATATATATATATATATGAAGAGTTCAGATGCAAAAGCCTCTAAATGCCATTTGAAATTTTCTTCTTTAATGATGATTTTTATCAAACTTGTATATTTAAGTTCAGTAATTTCACCTAAATGGCAATGAAGATTACCTATTAATTGTTATTTAAGTGAAATTACTGAACTTAAATATACAAGTTTGATAAAAATCATCATTAAAGAAGAAAATTTCAAATGGCATTTAGAGGCTTTTGCATCTGAACTCTTCATATATATATATATATATATATATATATATATTGTAATTATTTTTCCCTGAGGTTCTGTACCAAAAACAATAGTAATGAACCATTTTGTACCCATCTCATAATAAATTGAAGGAAATATTCTTGTAAGAAACAAATTTATGACTGACACAAATATGGTAACATAAAACCACATTCTGTTTGCAAAGCAGTTCTGGCTCTTAAAAGATCCCTGAGAATCCTCAATAGAAATACAACCACTCTTATCTTGAAATAAAGGAAATAAAAGGAATCAAGCTTTACTACCGATCCCATAGACAAGCTCTTTATCCAGTGCTTAAACAAATCAATATACATTCATTCCCTTCATGGCAGAGGTCAAATCTATTCTTTATGTATGCTGCAGGACTCCATTTTACAAATCCAGATGGTTAAGCCAGAATCAGAAACAGAAGGACAAATTTATATTTGCTTTTCAATGTCTCTTTGTACATTTTTTTTTTTTTTTTTTTTTTTTTTTAATGAAATAATATATACAATTTTTTAATATACACTACATTCAAAAGTTTGGGGTTGGTGAGATTTTTAATTTTATTGTTTTTGAAAGAAATCTCTTATGCTCACCAATTTGATAACCATTTAATTTTAATTAAACATATTATTCATAATCATTTATTTGTTCAAAAACAGTAATATTATGAAATATTATAACAATTTAAAATAACGGCTTTCTATTTTAATACATATTAAAATGTAATTTATTCCTGTGATGTCAAAACTGAATTTCCAGAAACATTATTTCAGTCTCAGGGTCACATGATCCTTCAGAAATCATTTCTAATCTACTGATTTAGTGCTCCAGACACATTGTTTATTATTTTCAATGTTGTGCCGTTTATTATTTGTGTGTAAACGGATCCCTTTTTTTTTTCAGTATTCTTTAATAAATAGAAAGTTTAAAGAATGCAGCATTTTAATTTTATCTTTTGTAACATTGTAAATGTCTGTACTGCCACTCTAAACCCATTTAATGCATCCTTACTGAACATTTCTTTGAAAAATAGATACTGGAAAAGTTGGGGAACACAGTCTGACCCCATAAAGAGATGCCAATATGTTCAATCAATGAAGACCAGAAGTAAAATTTGAAGTGCAATTAGTTGACTGAAGTTCACTTAAGACAAAGTTCTCCACACCTCCACCTCTGTCTATTAATAGTCTATAATGATCATTATTCAAAAGGAGAAAGATATATATAGCCTACACAGATATACAAAACATAAAGCAGTGCTTGCATACCATTTTGAATATCAGTTTTGTTGATATTTTATATAGTTTTGCCTATAGTTTTGCCTTCTGTCTGTAGTTTTGCCTTCTGTCTGTCTTTGCCTTTAGAATATAGTTTTGCCTTCTGTCTGTACCTTCTTGACTTGCTTATAACATTTCATCACTTCCGCTTTAATTCTCATGCATTTAAGTTTGCTAAATTGAACATCCAATCAGAGTTCCCACACTCACTGACAGTCAGACGCCGATTCAACATACTGAATCGGGCAAACATGAGCCAGACGAAAGCCGACGTGTGGAACACACCGCAAAAACTAGCCCAAGAGACACTTGCCGACGGCCCGATGTTGGCAGACGCCCGACCGTCGGCTTGGTGTGTCCCAGCTTCAAATGTGGTTATTTTAAAGAATATATCCGTGACATACTAAGTTCTCATTCGTAAGCAACTATCATAAGGATCAGAGAAGTGTCAGAAATCCCAAAAGGCCACTTCTCATCTGGGTGACTGTTGATTTGGTCACATTCGTAAACAATCCCAGACAGACCACATCACTGGACAGAAAAATACATCCACGCAAAGCAAACATGAGTGATTTAAAACAGAAGTTGGTGCTGTAAATGGTGCTGAAACACTAAAGAACAGCAATTGGCACTGTTACTGTATTCCTGACATGGCTCTGACCTTTAGTCATTTCTCAGATGCCAAATAAACACATTGCCTGTAACATTATATCCAGGATATATGTAATAGATTTAAGAAACTATGATATCCTATTCATTCTAACAAAAGAGGTCCACCCCGTCAGTATATAAAAAGAAATATAAACATTGTATAAAACATATATGGATACATTATTTTAAAGGTATCCAAGTTTTCTTTTATAAAGATGTAAAATGCCAAACTTTCCCTCTCTCGCTGTCTTCCTCAGTAGGAGCTAAAATGATTGGCAGGTGAAAGCATACGCAAAAAGTACTCTCAGTGTTGGTTCACCTCAACTGTTTCACAGCAAACTCCTTTTCTTTATTTCTTTTCATCCCCCGTTCATCCGTGAGACAGCACTTCTGTCTCTCACTAAAGCATTACCTGTCAGCGGTGGTTACCTGTTAGAGTCATCCTGTCTAAGAAAGCGCTGGATGAAAGAGTCTCCCAAGACTAACTCTGACTATGTCACAAGGTCAGTTGAATCTGATCAGACTAAACATAGATCACACAACAACAGTGACTCATGACCGTCCGTGTGTGTGAGAGAGAGAAAGACTGTGTGTTATGTGTTTACAAGGTGGGTTGATGAGAGAAATTTACACAGCCAACTTACGTTTACCACCCAATATATGCTCACCTTATCTGTGTGTGTGCCCTTGTTTACCCCTGAATGACGGTAGCTGTCGTCAGCTGGGTGATGTTGTGCAGTGCTCCTGGGTTCAGGACCACAGTGAAGAGGGTGAGACAGAGGGCAAGTGACTAACAGAGGCGGCTGTGTGTATTTGTAGAAGGAAACACACTTCGGGTTACCCCACACTAACAGAGGGGAAGTATAAACACACAGGCACACTCACCAGGACTATGTGACAGGTACACCAGCCAACCAATAGTAGAAAGGCCATCCAAAATACCTACAAAAACCTGAACAGCTACAGTAGCATCAGACAGGAGACACTAAGATAGCACATGACATGAGAACTTAAAACGCATAGCAGCCAGGGGGCATTCTTTAGAAAACCTACGTTTGACAAAACACACGCAACTAGACTGTATTTTAAGACTTTGTAAAACAAAGGCAATGTGATAAACACAAAAGGTAAAGAAATCATAATTTTAATTTTCAGTAGGTTTTTCTGTTTCATGCTTTTTCTATTTGATGGACAGATGTGATGGACATTAGTGTGTGTGGATTATCAGTGACAAATAAGGTTTGTAAAGGAGAGAAATGTGAAAATCTTGTAAAACGTGTTTTTCTAACAGTGTATTTGTTAATTTTATGTAGTTAAAAATGACATCTGCACCATTTTCTATGAAAGTTAAGACTGAATGTACCTAAATGTGTCAAATTGTGTAACTACCAAAGAATGAGAAATATTTCATATTTTATCCACCTGGATGGCATGTAAGTGTACATCTAGAAATAAATATTTAATTTTAATATATCACACAACAAAACTAGAGTTTATTAGAGTTATCTCTAAATGTCTCATTTTTAATATGTTGAAATATTTGGCAGGACATATGCTGGAAACACCTCAGTTTTCAAAATAATCTTTGACAAATTATGTAAAAATTGTTTAAAAAAATATTACAATAAACTAGATTATTAAATTTTATTCCACATTAAATTTCCTGTATAGAATTATATTTTTATGAAAAATACTGGTTACACCAATTGACAAAAACCAGTTACACCACCTGACCATATTGCTTCTAGACTCAAAGGCCATTGCTTGTTGAAGAAATTAGGTAAGGTAATAGGTCACATGACAGTGGTAAGTTTGTGCAACATGGCACATACGAAATTTCGGGATTGCATTCAAACTATACACTTCAAAAAAGATAATTATGTTCAAAAAACAGCTAATTATTCGTCAAATGAAGAGTTCAGATGCAAAAGCCTCTAAATGCCATTTGAAATTTTCTTCTAGAATGATAATTTTTATCAAGCTTGTATATTTAAGTTCAGTGATTTCACTTAAATGGCAATGAAGATTACCTATTAATTGTTATTTAGGTGAAATTACTGAACTTAAGTATACAAGTTTGATAAAAATCATCATTAAAGAAGAAAATATTAATTGGCATTTAGAGGCTTTTGCATCTGAACTCTTCAAATGCAGTACATATTGACCAATTCACAAACAGCTTAAGTCAACAACTTTAGTGGATTTATAAAGTCAGCAAAGAAACCAAAGGTGCACCGTAATTTATCACACCATCTATGAACTACGACACAATCTATTCCATTCTGTTCAACAACCAAAAAATTAGTTTGAATACATTTTGTCTTCATTGTTAAATTCTTCTGATATTCTGGGCCTTCTGTGCCCATGCGCAGACACTTACTATCTGTTGGTGGGACATGTTTTTTTGGGCAGAGTTCAGTTTTGTCTGGGACAGATGGTACTCACCCCGGTCTATGTACTGACGCACTGTAAGGGTACAACTGCAGCAGACACAATATATACGTGTGTGCGTGTGTGTGTTTGAGAGTTTGGCCTTTCAGCCACATTGACCCTCTGATCTCTCTGAGGCTCATCAATTACCTCTCCCCTCAGAGCCAGCACACTGAGAGAATGGATTATATGAAGTGTAAAACATTAGAAAAATGTGTTCACAACATCACAG